TAGAGGGGGTAACAATTTGATAAGCACCACCCCCTTAATTAATGTTGCTTTTCCTATCAAACTTTACTTTCTCATCAGCAGCATTATACAGTTTACAATGTTAAATTGGTTACAGCTGCTTAGCCGTGATTCGGCAATGAAAGTCTCTCCATAATATCGAGCTTAGCAATCATTAGGATATCTTTTTGGAAATGTGTATATACAAAGCTGCAGAACTTTGACACGGGAATAGCATACATGAGAAGCTTTATAATATATGAATGAACAGACAACAAATGTGGTTTGAGAAGCGTATTGTAAGCCTTCATCCTGTTTTGCCTGTGAAATGTTGATATCCGTTGTAACTGACAGGACTTGAAGCTGCCGCTGTTCTTAGAGAAGAAGCCAAACACAAACATGTTTCAGCCGCCTTTCAAGCCTGCAGGGGGTGAGCGCTTGACGCTCTAAAGATAGATTTTGTGTGAAGTACTTTAAGGCAGCGAACCATACACAAACAAGGTTGCAAAAACATTCACAAACTTATTAAGTAGATTAACAATCCAATCATTATGCTTGAGATTGCATTTTATGTTATTTCATTTGACATATTGCTGCACCATAAACACTGCATCATTATGCTTTATGTCTTCAAAGACTTTCTGAACTCTCATCTAAATCTACTTTAAGCCAAGAGACGCTGCTTGGAAACTGGCACCACTGCAGACAGAAAAATGAATCAAGCACTTCCACTCGCATTACATTGACATTAAAGGTATTTAGCTCTTGCTTTTATCCAAGGCTAATTATGATGAGGGCAGTGAAAATTAGCACAAGCTGATGGCGCCCTGATGATAGATCCAATACTGTATACTGTAATGTGGGACCTCTTCTCTGAAATAACAACATTTAGAAAAAGAAAAGCTATATTAGATTCAGACAGAAGCGTTCTCGAAGAAGATTTGGCACGAAAAGGGGTGTGAAACAAGTGGGATTACGGGACGTGAGGCATTTCTTGAGGAGATTAGTCTTTAAGTTTACAAGGAAAGGGAGTTGTTGTGTTATCCTGACTTAAAATGTTCGATTACTCTGGAGTCAGGGAGACTGGAGGGAGTGAGGACCTGACTTCTAATAACAGAAAGTTGAACAAAAGTGGTGGAGTGGTGATTGGATTTGTTTTTTCCGCAGTGTTGGTGGAGTGTGCTACTACCCCAAAAGGATGTAGACAGACGTTTTGTAAACCTAATGTGCTATTTACAACAGTTTGACAGCACACAGGGAGAGACTCTCATCCAGATCAGCCACCATCTTGCAGTAAAATGTTTTTTTGTTGTAGTTGCTGTTGAGCCTTGCTTTCCGCTTCAGCAGCGCATTTGAACAAAAGATGTTGACTCATGCATGCAAATTAGATGGTGTTTTGTTGCCACTGTATAAATTGTTGTATTCTGAATGGAATAACAATACATCCGCCCCAAAGTAATGGAGGACTCAGACTTCTGTGTTGACAGTAATGACCCATTCCTTGTGATTAATGTGGAAAAAGGCAGCATGCAATTAGTGGTCAGCTGCAGGGGGGCGTCACACAGGCAGACATCTTGAGGCATTTGTTTCATTGTCTGAAGAGAAAGTTGACACTGAAGAATTAAGTTTTCACATGTGCTTTAATTGACTTTTAGAACATGATGGTAGTAATTCCAATGTTTCACTGCCCTGTTTTCAGCTTTGAGAGCTCTTCAAAGTCATGTGTTGATTTGTGTTCGGAGGGATTAGACTGCAACTGATTATATTTGTTGACAATTTATCTGCAGAATTTTATGCAAGCTGTCAGCAACGCTCAAGGAAAGGCAATGTGGGTCGCTCCACTACTTTGGTCCAAACTTAAATATCTCGACTGTTTGATGGATGCTCATGACATTTTAGGTGCACAAATTCATGTTCCCTTCAGGATGTTTATTAACAACTTTGGTTAGTTCATAACTCATCTAGTTCAGAATTTTTCAAAGTCAGTTTCAGGCGATGCTCAGTGAATGTTTTGACATTAGTTGATACATTTATCATAAGGATATCACATAGAATAGCCCAACCTAAACAGAAACAACTTCCAACTTCTCACACAGTTAAAACTAAAGTCCTCTTAAAAAATAACATGACGTTTTCTAAGAATAATTATTTCAATATAACAGGTTTAAAGGTTGACAAGGTGAAAAGAAACACCTGTCTGATTCAGTAAGTGCAATATAAAGTAATGTGAAAATCACATCACACACATTTTTTATTTTAGAGCATAGCAAAAAAAAAGAAAATACTTCACTTTTCATGAAGGATTTGCTCATCTTCTATTTGAATAAGTCACCAGAGTACTGGAAAAATACACGTATACACATGTAAATGTCTGTAAATATAAGCAAAGGTCTTCTTCATTCAGGTTGGTTGGAAAGTATTACTATTATAATAATGTATTACTGTATTTACTTCCATCCTTCTCCATATCTCCCTAAATCACATCACCTTGTTGGGCAGCTAGATTTTCATTAACATAGCTACCACGGTTGAGAGTTGGCTGCTTTTCAAATCACATACTTTTGCTTTTAGTCATTTCTGCAGCTGCTGTTCGAAAGTACCGGATGCATAATACATTTGACATACTGTGTATGGGACATACAAAATCCTTTTTCTGGCATATTAAACTGGCGTAAAATATGTAGATATGGTTGAACTCTGTATACATCCTAGCGCCCAACCTTCACTCAATAATCTGGAGTTTCATTGTGACGCCAGGACACCACCGCGGCTGCAGAAACGGACCAGTTTCTTTAAAATCACTTGAGCCTTTAATTCAATACTTCTTACAGAATATCTACTCAGACTAAGATGACAAGCTCCATTGTTTGTGCACCTTGAAATCAGGGAATAAATTATACAAGATGTTCCTTTTAGAGCTTCACAGTCTGAGTGGTTATATTGATTGATTTTGATCAATGGCCTCTCAGAGACATCTCCCTGTATGAAAGCTGCCCATGTTGAGCCTGTCCTGCTGCGTGTTCACAGCGCAGACCCTTGAACCGATGTGTGTAATTATTATCTATTTATGGAACCTCCAACAGGGTCAGGGTTTTGTATCGCAAAATCCTTTCAAAAACACCTTTTTGAATATATGTTTTTTGTACATTTATGATAAAAAGACTGAAAATGCAACCTTTTCTTAAATAGCTTGGTGACAACAAACAGGTTATGGCTGCAGAGTTAATGTTGCGATGACGTCTTCAGTTTGAGTCCCGCCATCCTTAATGATGCCCATCCGCACCAAACACTGTATATGTTCTTATACTGTTTTATGTTGTTGATAGAAATGGAAATTATCAAAACAACACACAAAAAGGGTGTCAGCTGCACTATTTGGTGTTGCAAAGCAGCACAGCGTGATGATTTCGAACCTTTTCGTACTGAAGCACCGGGTGTCCTGCAGTGATGTTAAGCTCAGCCCATTTAAGTGGTTTATGAGGATCCTCCACACGCTCTGGTAGTGACATCTCCTTTGATGACCCCATACAAATGTGAAATTGTAAACAGAAGAGCACATCTTCACTGCTTCTGCTGAGTCTTTCAATTGCTCTGCGATACCATTCAAATTCTTCAGATAGCAATCAGCAGCATTAATACAAATTCATTCATTTCCCTCAAATCTGTGATTCTCAAATAGTTCTCCTCAAAGTTTTTTTAACGAAGAAACTTTTTATTATGCATAAATGTTAATCAAAAGATGAATAAATGAATTGAATCGGAAACAGAATACATTGAAATGTTAATTTCTTATATGGGCGATTAGGCCTGTTATAAGAATACCTGAAATAATTACATAAATATCCATAATCAACCTATTTAATGCTTGATTACATGTTGATTTGAAATGAGATAAGTAAAGTAAAAAGCACAGTTTAAAAAAACCTACCGCACTTGTTTCTTTCTTCTTTGCTGAATGAGTTTACAAAGACTTGAGTGATATAAAAGATATACACCTAGATATGTTGCTGCAACTATAACAGAGAGTGCCATCGCATGCAATCAAAAAATCTAACAAAATTCACTTTTCCTCTTTATGGAGAGTATTTATTGTCCCCACTGCTGGATAGAGGTATCGCAGTCGGAAAGGTTTGCAGAGATCCCTGCACCGGGGCCTGGAGCCTCCCAGAGGTCTTCATTATAAGAGGTGTAAGTGCCACTGGCTTTTAGTCATCAAGGACTCGGGCTGCTACTCCCCGGCCCCGGGGCCATTAATGTTTCGCACCACGGAGAATCCCTCCTCACAGTCGAGGGTACAGTACGCTGCAGAGGTGATGATGAAGGGCCTCTGCCTGTTGACTGTGCTTGAAGCAACCGAGAAGTGATCGTGGCTCGTTGCACTGACTGTGTGTGCTGCTCCCAAACAGAGCCACAGTACAGTCTGTTTGTACATCTGATGGTATCATCAGAACAGAGAGTATTGCTCTCAAAAGAGAAATAATAGACAGTGGAAAATAAGGGCTCATTATAATTTATCATCAAGTTAATAAATCAGTAGTATAATTGTGTGTTGATAATATATATACAGTATGTAATGGCAAAATAAGGAATTTGGCTTTTCTGAAAATGTTATCTCTAAACTAGTGCTGCCCCGTTAGTCGACTTATTTGTTACTTTGGTCTTTTTCGACTAATATTTGCTGAGGAGTCATTTTTTATTTCATTTATGCGTTTCTCATTTTGAATGACTTATTTCCAAGGAAACATACTGTATGAGCACACCTCTTGTAAAAACACAATCATTAAAGGGATTCTCTCTAGAATCGAGGACAGTCGAACATTATTTCAGTGCAGAAGGCCTATAACGTTTAACTAGCGTGAACATCGGGTGCAACAGTATGTAACTTCTACATCTGTGCAGCCTTTGGTACAGCTGTCTCATTTTTGTAACATTTAAATTACCTAAATTGCCCGGCTGTGACTGTAAATAATTGAATTTTCTCTTTTCTTTGTGAAAAACCCCAGGTGTGGCAGTGTGGCGGCAGTGTTGAGGTCCTCCCTTGCGCTCGTATCGCCCACATAGAGCGAGCTCACAAACCCTACACGGATGATCTGACGTCTCACGTGCGGCGAAACGCTCTCAGAGTGGCAGAGGTTTGGATGGATGAGTTTAAAAGCCATGTCTACATGGCCTGGAACATTCCCGTGGAGGTGAGCCAATCATGTATTTTCAAACAAGTGCAAGTCACAGATCTTAAGTCTGAAGTTTGATGAGTTGGTGAATTTTAAGTTGTATTCACAGTACCACATTGTCCATGTCACTGGCCAAAATCTGTGTGCAGTCCCCTTCATAACCAATGCGTACATGCTTTGGTTATGAAGGGGACTACAGGGTGAAATCTAATGATGTTGAATAACATCACTAATATTATTCATTAACAATAATAAGCATTTGCACAAACATTCACAATTTCAAATTATATTAAATGTTTTCAAAGTGACTAAAGTATAATAAGCTTCTCATTTGGATTTGACGTTCTTTATTAATTGTGTGTAATTTGGTCTTTACTAGATTGGTAATAAAAAATATATTTTATGTTGAAGTTAGATGTTGAAGTTATTTTAAATGGGACTAATAAATTCCAGCGGTATTTGCCATCTTTATCTTTAGTAATGAAAGAGTATTCTGCTCACTACCAAAGGAACATTTTAAATGCAGTTTATTCTGGGACAAGGAACATAAAATCTTATTTATCACATTAAACCTATTAGATTATTTTTATAAGTGGTCCAACTGAAAAGAAAATAGTGCCTCAAAAAATCACAAAGTAGTATATCATCACAAAGTTATTTTGGTTTCACAAAGGTGAAATGGTGATCGCTGAACTGCAAAGAGCAGCTTTTTCGCAATGTATCTCAAATTGACAGAATGTAGCAGAAGGTTTTTTTTTTTACCTATTCCCATGATTTGCTGTTGCATCCTCTTGCGTCATTATCCAAGGGGAGCATTTGTACAGAAGTCCAAGTAAGATGGGGAAAACCATTATGCACAAATGTGAATACAGATGTCACCGTCATAAATGTACAACACCGGCAGGCTGCTCCGCTCAGCGGCACCGAATCTAAATGTCACGGGGTGAGTGTCATCTGTTATCAGCTGCGCTCCTCCCATTGCAGATGTTCAGTGGAGTAAAGCATCTGACAACTCCAGAAGGCTCTAATGAAATGATGTCTAGTTTCTGACAGGATGGCCTGCATTTTATATGTGCCACATAATAAATACATATGTTATATGATTTAATGAAATGTTTCTAAATGGAGACATATAAGCAGTTAGAAATATAGTTAAAAGTTATATAAAGAAATTGCCTGGATTACAGCTGTGATTTGAGAATAAAAAATAATACAGAAAGACAAATTAAGTACACAGGAAAACGTGAATATAATTAATGGTTTAAGATTATGTATTTTATCAGCAGAAATCCAATCAGTTTATTTAAATCTCTTTATTTGAAGCTTTATTGTCTAATTTACGAGGTTGAATAAAGACAGTGTTAACAAAAGTGCAAAATGTCTCCCTTACTGATACAACATACATATGCTGCATGCTGCCATGTTACTGTTGTGTTTGTGTTGTCAGAAGATACAGATTTGTATTTGATCTTGAACTGGATTTAGTAAATGAATGTAAATAACCGCATTATGTCGTCTTATGTTAAATGTAGCATCCCTCAAAGGCTAAGTCAAATGTTTGCTCACTGTAGCTTTTTTTTTCCTTCTCCTGCATAATCTGTTTGGATATGCAAATCCACGTTATGAATAGATGAACGTCTGTGGGCAATTCATTCAGTCAATAATGAGGCGTTTAACAGAGTCTGTACTCAAGAAGCATGAAATGTAGCTTCGGCTTTAGCTGCCTGAATGAACTACACCGCAACATTGTCAGTGGTTTCTTTTGATGGTAAAGATCTAAATACTACCAGTGTTCATATGAAGTTAATCTGAGGTGACTTTGAGTGCAGCATTTTCAGATACTTCAGTTTTTGTGTTTCTTTAAAGAGAGGCATCAGCGTAAAATAATCCGATCAGATCCTTAATTTAGGTTCAAGTACCAATAACACACCGCACTGCATTTAAATGTTTGTTTGTTTGAACCCAGGACTCCGGGATCGATATAGGCGATATCTCTGAGAGGAAGGCTCTAAGGAAGAGGCTGCAGTGTAAAACTTTCCGATGGTACCTGGTCAACATCTACCCTGAGATGAGGATGTACAGCGACACCATCGCATACGGAGTAGTAAGCCGCCTCCCTCTTCATCCCTAATGCAATTCAGCATCTGCAAGAGCTAAAACGAGTCTAGCTGTGCCTGAGCGAATCATTTTAATCCCTTGTGTTGAAATCGGGGCAGCTGCTGTCAGGAGCAGAAACAGTTCAAAGAGAGGAGGTTTGCTGCAGCAACTTTGACTTCTTACTTAAAAAAATAAATGTCTGCAAGTCTAATGTGATGAAAATAGATACACAGATAGATCGAATTACACTCACTTTATATATAGATGTAGTGTTTCCTACTTGATATTTATATTTGTAAGAGAAACCAGAAAAAGGGACAGCCAACAGTGCTGGCAGTGTTTCTATTTGCCCATTTCTGAATATTCTCAATCAGCTTTATTTCCACGGTCCTCCCACCTCTCATCACTGTGGTGCGCCCTAATACACTCTGACACACAGGCCTCAGTACTATGGGACTACTTTCTATGTTGTACGGAGGATTTTTTTAATAACAAACGGATGGATGGACGTAGTGAGTAATTAGGATGACCTCATTACATTCATTTCTCCGAGTTAGTTGACCTCATTATTCTACATTTGCTACATGCATTTGATGGGCTAGTCAGGCGTTGTGGTTTGAGGAGTCGTTACAGGCATCACCACTTGCGTCGATAAAAAACATCAACTTTTGATGACATCTCTAAAGAATTTGTTCTTATCATTCTTCTACTGATTTTTAAAAAATTGGTAAAGAGAGATGCAGGTGGAGGCTAGCTGTCAAATCTGAAGGTTATTATGTCAGACACGCGTCACATGACAGAAGCTCTGAATGCAGTTTTACTTGAAGCTAATGTTGCCCCCATAGGTGACACTGTGCATATTTATTATTTGTGTAGTGCTTTACTGATTATCAGAAAGAGGTAGACTTCTCATCAACTAGGAGCTGAATTAAACCCTGTTTAATAAACCTCTGTTCTTCTGATCTGCTGTCTTTACCTAACACTCCCCATGCAAACCACTATCCCTCGAAATCCCTGTGGCGCAGTTTGTATCTCACACTCAGAGCTTTGTCGTTAAGTGTTATATTTTCTATTATTGTCTTTTCATATTTGTATTCCCTTTATGTACAGTTAGGAGAAACTGGTATTAGATGGTCACTATTTGATATAAAGATTTTCTCCCATTTTGTTTCTAGTTTGTATTGTCTGTCCGTACTCACAAAGCGCATGGATACATTTCCATAGGAACAGGGAGCTCCACAGTAGGCAGCGCTTTATGTTTTTTAATAATTCATAATAACCAATGTACTGCAGATTAAAGAGAGCAGGTGGTAGACGCAGCTTCCTTGCTCTCGCTGTGATTTGGCTGTAGATGTTGAGGGGGAGAACACAAGAATTATCTCTGACCATTATTCATAGTTCAGTGCAAAACTTTTATTTCAACCCACCAAACATTATCCGCTATTTTACTTTAATCACGATGGTGTCTAAGGTTGATTTCAATTTGCGTTTAAAATATACATTGCATTAAACATTCATGTGACTTATTATTGACAAACACAGATACTTAGCATACAAGTGTGATCATGTTTTAAAAATTAAAAATAAATCTTAATATTACACGAAAAATATGAGCCACCATATACAAAATATGTAATATTACTGATATCTTTAAAGGCATATCAACATTTTAACTTCATTTTAGCCCATCAATGTTTAAAGATGTTTAATATCCATTTTATAATTTGTAAGCAACCAATGTCAAATACCTGTGTCTTTAAAACACATTATATACCCAAATCTCTTTAATCATCTAGTTGTAAAGCCCATTAAAACTTGGCTTCAAATTGTTCTTCTTAAATGTTGAACATGTATAAAAACCAAGGCAGCGGGGGAGGTAATAAAACATATTTAGGTATTATTTATTAAGAGTTTAACATCCAAAAACTCAACTGATTTGCTTTGTCAGGACTTTGTGTGCCCGCCATATCATGAAATAAGGCAAAGTGTTACAATAGAGTTGAAAATAAGAGTCCACGATTAATTTTAACTGAAAATAGGTTCAACACATTCAAATGATCTACTTGTTCTTAAGAAATAGTTTTGAGAGCATATTATATATTATTATCTAGATATTATAGCATAAAGAGGTCCATCTTTTGTTTGTATTATTTGTAAAGAAGAACTATCAAGACGTTTAGATGTTTGAGACCTGAATCTTACTTCATATTTGGTCTTAAACTTACTGGATGTGCATTTTCAAAGTTATAAACTATTATTCATATATGTAGTAGCTTAAATTATTACTGTGTGTGTGTCTGTTTGTGACTGTTTGTGTTTTTTCTTTGTCTGCCAGCTGAAGAACTCTCTGAAGAACGATCTGTGTCTGGATCAGGGACCTGACAATGACAACGTGCCCATCCTATATCTCTGTCACGGGATGACACCTCAGGTTACAGCCCTCACACTCCGCACCACTTTTTCATGCAGCACACAGCACAAAGCCAGATTTACTATGTCACCCTTTATGTTTGATTTCCATCTTTTTTTGTATTTTATCAAAACCTGTTCCAACATGATCCAACCAAAATAAATAGTTTGCTTTCACCTTGGATCAAACTCAGTATTACAGTGTACCGCACAAACCAGGACCACTTTTTTGTTTATTTCTCTTTGAAAACACTTTGTTTTAACTCACATGTCCTAACTGAGCCTACCATTTAAAAACATCATTCTATTGACATCAGGTAACGTGAAATCCTGTTTTTGATTTAGTTAGCCTGTACCTGAACATATGTCTCTGTCCCCAGTTTTCTTTATACAGCCTGATAGACTTCAGGATTATTTAAATGGCTTTCTTCTGTTTTTTCATCATTCATGTCTTTAGAACCTTGTATCTGGACTCCTTGTTCAGGACATCACGTGGCCCAAATAATAGGCGGTTTAAGTATCTTCAAATGTTAGCACAGCTTGATTTGATCATTTACTTTCTCCAGCCTCTTCCAGCTCCCATCGATTCCTCTGTTCCATTATGTCTGGGAAGATTGTTTTCAGAGATTGTTTAACCTTGCCGTGACAGTTGTAAACGTGTCTTATAGAGTGAGGCTTGATCCCACATTATCCATTTGGATTTAAATAAATCTATTGGATGTTTCACAGTCACTACGCCTTGTATTGATATTTGGACCATAGTGCAAATTAAAACTAATTCAGGAGAAATCTGTATAATATTATGCAAACTTTGTAACACTTCTCCCTAAGTAAAATCAACTTCTGCAGCTTTTCTCAGACCCAGATAAGTTTAAAACGTACTCATTATACATCTGTTGTATGCTATAAATCTCTCGTAAATCCAGACATTTCAAACAAAGGATTGGAGTAGCACCGCCGTCCCTAATGAGATTGGGGATCTCCTCTGCAAGACAAATCTCGTCTGCTCTATTTTTTTGTTTCAGTGTTACATCATCTAGAAAATTAAACCCTGGATTGCGTCTGTAATGACATACATACTGTACATAGCAAATGTTAGCTGGAGTAAGTGAAAATGTCACTGGCTTTGAAAGAGCTGCACTAAGTATCCGAGGTTCAGAGGTGAATGCAGTAAATCAGCGTGCTCAAAGAAAATCACACAGCCACACATGAAAGGAAAGGGGAGTGCAAAGCTTACATTCAACACGGGTTGATTTTAAAAAGCATGTAGTCAGCAAACACACCGTACAGAGCTTCTGCTCATGTAGTAATACAACATACCGACTTAAGCACAGCAACAAAAGAAAGCACAGTCAAACACCGCCTGGCAGCCTGTGCTGCTCCAAGAATGAGCAGCACAAATAAAACGTTCCCACTCGTCAGACTGTTTCACGTCTGGTGAGAAGGAGGCAGAGGGCTTTTGGGAAATATGAGACAAATAAGAGAAGAGTAAAAGTAAGAACAGCAGCTGTGTAGGCAAACATGGCCTTGCTCTTTTTGTTTTATTAAAATATAATATATTGAGGTGCTTTGACAGATAATGAAGGTGCGGATTACAGAAGATACAATCATAAGCCAAGTCCCACTTACTGTATGAAATGTAAGAACCTCCACAGACAGTCTTAATTCTCTGCTCTGAAATCTAGCTTCCCTGTACTCTCGTTACACAAACTAATGTATGTGGCATCCTTTGTTTAAGGTTGCTAGTTGCAGAAGGAATACTGAGATCCGTTACTCAAATAAAAGTAGCAGTACAACAATGTGGTTATATTCAGAGTATAAATCCTTCATTGAAAATTCTGCCTGGCTGCCATGTTGCAAACTGCTCAGACCTAGAACAAGAGGCAGTCGGTGGGGCAAGGCCAGATCCAGAGTTTCTCAGTGAGGGAGAAAGAGTAGATATGCTTTCAGCCCCTTTTCAGAATTTCGTTTTTATGTGGGAAACCCATGTGAAATAAGATATGAATCACAGCAAAGTGTTTTCGCATACTTTCAAATGTGTCTAGAGGCAGACATTAAGTACAGCACTGGTGTAAACCAACTTGACTTTCTATTTCATATCATCATACAGTCCATCCTAGATTTTCACTCTATATTCTCTGCACCAAACTAAAGCCAGGGTTACACCAACAGACTGTGCATCGCTGTGGATGTCAAGCATGAGAGCGAGACCGAGAACGAGATATCATTTGTGGATTGTATTTACAGATGCAATCAAGCATTTTTCTTTTTCAATGCAGAACATTCTTCTGCTACTTTCCTGCAAATTATTTTCATTTTTTGTCAGCTAAATATGTGCAAAAAAAGCACTTAGGCAGGAGACTAGCAGAGAGGGAACAATTATGGGGAGAAAAAATTGTTTTCCCCATTCCTGAATTAATGATGAGCTTCTTTTGTTTGCCTTGCCTTGTTCTTAATTTAGTCAGGATAGCTGTATAAATATGCATATTTAGTGTATGTAAATGTCTGTTTCATTATAGACAATTGAAGAGGAAGCCTCATTTGCTGCATAGTTTATTACCTGTATGGTCTTATACAGCTCTGGAGGGACCATTATCTAAATGTCAGCAGTCTGAACCTACAGCACAGTCTGTTCACAGCGGGATGTGGTGTTTCTTGCAGAATGTGTACTACACCGGCACTCAGCAGCTCCACATCGGCCTCCTCAGTCCCACCATTGACGACGACGACAACAAGTGCCTGGTGGACGTGAACAGCAGACCGCGCCTCATCGAGTGCAGCTACGCCGCGGCCAAACGCATGAAGCTCCACTGGCTCTTTTCTCAGGTGACTACCCATGAACACAGCGCCAAAACATGGTCAGAAAACACAAAGTTAACAAACCCTTTTCAGTTCCATTCAGCCTCAGTAATGGTAATGTGTTGAACGTGACAGGAAAACTCAAGTGTGGCGGTAGCTTTTAATCATGCAAGTGGTTTAAATTACTGTTTGACCAGAGTTCAGTTCTGTAACTCATTGAGACGTGAGGAGTCATTGAAAGTTAATGATTGTCTGTCTTCATTAGCTATACCAGCGCTCTATGTTTTGACAGAAAAGCAGCCACCTCACAAAATGCCTCCTGACAGCTGGTGAATTTGATTTACTGCATGCTTTGATTTGGGCTCAAAAGACTTCATATGCTGTCAGTGCAGTGTTAATTATAAATGTTGTCCCTCATTCAGCAATATACACATAAAATCCCAAATGTGCTTATTATTAGACGCTTGTTATAACCAGTGCAGATTTATTTTAGCAGTGCTGGATTAGCACTACAGGCCACACATTTGTCCTTTTTATGTTTAACAGCGTAATGTACATATTATAAAGAGGTTTTACACTATATGTTTAAGTATGTCACAAGTGTTCACGCTGAACTTTAAGTGGCTATTTTAGTTTATAATTTAGAGAGCAAGCCTCTGAAATATGGCATCAATTATTGACAGTTTTGAATTCACACATGCAAAGTGTCAACTCACAATTGAAATAGATTGCCTCAATGCAGCTCTAACAACTGTGGGGGACGCGTGCTTTTTTTTAAAACAAAATATTGCAGAAAACCAAATTAAATGAAGATATTCTTAATCTTTTCCTAGTGAAATGTGAAGCATTATTTCACTTCATCCTCACAAAGAAGGGATTTTGAGAAGATATTAAATATGTGCTGCATGTAAATACTTGGCATGTCTTGGTACATGCCAGTTAGAAAACAAAGCACATGTTTAGTGGGTGGGATGGTATGGCTTGTTCGAGTTGTGTGTTTTGTGAGTGTGTGGGTGAGCCTCTTTATTACTGTTACAAATGCAGATTGTACGGTATATAGCATAATATGACAAAACTAGCAAAAACCATATCATCCTTAATCAATTAACAACCTTCCCACATGCTATGTTCACACATATTCATAAACCACCTCCTGGAGGCTTTTATAGGAAGCAGCATGAAGACGTTATACAGAACTTGGCTGAGTAAAACCCAGAAGATTTTATTAGTTACTGCAGCATTTATTCTAGGTACTAGTTTGGCTCGTTTCATTCCTGTGAATCCTCACCCACTATTTCAATTTATCGATTCTGAATAGGGAAGTCAACTTTGTTCAAGATCCAAAATAATAGAAATACAAATCCGTCATTTGTAAGTCAATTTAAAAAAAGAACAATTCTGAATTGCTCTCGGGGTTGAAATTAAACAGGATAGGGAAATCTCAAGTTCATGGAGTCAATCTTTGTAAAAGTGCATTGTTCATATAAAAAGAAAAATGCTTGATATGAAAAGTTAACATATTTGTTGTTCATCATCTCTCTCCATGCCCTAGTAAACGCTGTAAAATGTGTCTCAATATTATAAAAAAAATAGAAGTGACGGATATTCAAATATTTTTACATTTCTTTACAGCTTTTGTTCAATAGAATGAGAATATTTCTCAGTCTGGCTTAAACAGGTGGTTTTAATGCATATTTCTTTATAAGGCTCAGGATCTCTCCTTCAGTGGACATTGCCAGCATCTGATCCAGCCATGCAAAACTTGGCCGTGGGGCTTCCCTCTGCGTCAAAATATCCAAATAATTGATTAGTCTGGGTACTAATCTTTGCTCAACACATATTTTTTTTAAAAAGGTGTTTTTTATATTTTCTTTGGGAAATCGGGCCTGCAAGAGACAGCTTGAAAACATTTTTTTTTATTATGGCCATCGTCAACAGATGGGATGCTCAGTTGTCAATGAGATGGTCAAAATGTTATCAGATTTTAGAATAAAATAATCCTATAATCTCTGCTGTTCCCAATTCGGCTGAAAGCTGCTGTAACCTACGGTGAGGATCTTAAAGGGTTCAGGCTTTATCTGATGCCTCGAAGAGTAAAAAAGGCCTCGATTGCCCCATTTACTCCTTTTATGGGCTGGCTCAGGACATCGCTACATAGTGGACCATAAATGCCCACTTTCAGCACTTATTACCAATCTGTTATCTATAAAATAAAATGTCTCTTGGACCTCACAGACAGGCCACTCTGAAAATATAGAAAGAATAATTTAGTTCAATCTTTACAACCTGTCCAATCTTGAGGTCTTTTCCCCCCTCATCCCTCAGTGTTGGACCAAGCTCTCTGCAGACTCTATTGACTGCTGTAGGCCTGCTCTTCACTCACTTGCCCTCAGTCGGCCCTGACGCTGTAATGAGAAAATCCTGCCTCGTTTCATCAGGACATGCTGGATTATTTTTTGTAGAGCTGATGTGGTCACTCTTTTCAGACTCTGCAGACAGCTGTCACTTTAAAGATTGCAAATTGTTGGTCTATTCAGCTCTTTGTGGCAGTATAGGTTTCAGGCATATTTCTCACTTGCCAATAATTTAAATCATTGGTTTAAAAATAAAATTGTAGAGGCTTTCGCTGGGGTGTTTTAGAAAACCTTTGTGCCTTTTCTCTCTTTGCGCAATACCAGATGTCTATTGTGTTCTAATGTCACGTTTTCCTCTTCTCTTCTGAGCATTCTCTCAAAATCTAAGCCCTTGCTAGGAAGAAAGCTAATGACTACACTGCCAATTATTGAGGCTTTTTCCTTGAAACCATATTGATGCTATCTGGAGGGCCCAATGAGGATAGTTGTGCGATTGAGCCAAAACGCTCAGGGTGCTTCAGATGCATACACCTGTATCCATTCACAGCACTGTGGGTTTAAGGGAGGCAAGTTATATTATGCACACAAATTGTTCTTCTGTAGCCCAGCACAATTTTCACCAGCCTGCTTTTATCTTTTCAGGGAGGATCCATCCAGAACAGGAAATCAAAGAGGTGCCTGGAGCTCGTAGTGAGCAGCGACAATGAGTTTGGCTACCAACTCACTCTGCAGAAATGCACCGGACAGAAATGGTTCATCTCAAACGTGCTGTTTAGCAACGCCTTATGATCAACATCTGGCGGGGACACTGGAGTGAATGGAAGGAGTTGCTTCTTTTGTGTACCGATGGATTGTGTGAGATGATAGGAAACAGGAGTCCAACAGAAGAGCAGTGCATGGTTGAACACGGTCATTTTGAGCACCACGATGTCCTCCAATGAGACGAGTTGACATCACATGATAAATGTTAAACATTTTATTTTGCCTACAGGATCAGCCATAGTTGGCGGAATTTTGCAGATTTGACAAAGTAGTATATTTAGTATATTTTGTGGTAAATACAGTACAGTCAGATTTCGTTGACTTAAAAGATGTAATGGGTCCAATATGTTTTTGTACTTTGTGCATAATTGCTACTGTGTAGCAGGCTTTCTGAACCTGTCCCTGCTGTAATTATTTCATTTTAGTGTCTCAGGTTTGTAGGTTTATTATGGGATTCAGCTGTAAAGTTGTGGGAAAATGTTGGAATAAATATGAAAATTATAGATAATTTTCTACATGTAAATATTTTGAATATTTGTTATATATAACATTAAAATAACTGATGTAAACTACTAAGGGCAGTTTTTGTCTTTTGTTGTTGCACAAACATAATTTTGATTGACAAAATTTGGATGTGGTTTGACAACACATTTACAGTCAGACAATAATGAAGTACAGAAAGCTGCAAGTTGCAGAGAACTAAACTGAACAAAGTTAGAACACAAGTTTCCTGACGCGGTGTGCTGCGGTGGTTTGTGGCTGAAGTAATTACTTATGACTTACACCGTGTCTCCTCCACAAGAAGGCGTAGCGTGAGCAGTACTCTGGCAGAGCTGCTGAAACGGGTCTTGTGTAGACATGCCACAGCATGGCATGCATCATTAGCCTCTACACTATGAACTCTATATATAATTGCTCTGTAGTCTGTGAAATAAAATTGGAAGGTTAAAACTAGCATTTTTTTACCCTGCAGATAGATGACTGCTGGTTGTCATGTTGAAATGTTTTCTTCAAGTGCATTTGTTTAGTCTATTTTCATGTTCTTTTTAGTTGCAGTGTGTTAAACATAGGGGCCACCATTTGGCCTTAAAAGGGACATTTTATTAAATAAACAAAACTTGTGCATGGATACACAGAATTTAGAAAAGTGATGTTGTCAGTTTGTAATGACAAATGCAGGGGCAGAAACTGAGAAACGCGACTGCTTTCTGCTCTCGCTGTGGTGTGTACCTGGGGAGGAGACGAGTGGCACAGCCTGTTTTCAACATGCCAGTCCTCATTACCATCCACATTCAAGCAGAGCTCTGCAAACCATGGCATTAAATATACATGGGAACCCACTTTCATCAAAAGGACCTCCCTCACTAACACGTTCTAATGTATGCAATAAGAGTCCCTCTGCATGCTCAAACTTTTGAATGAAAGCAATTCAACAAAACAGTATTCCTATGCGCATTTCTTACATCCTCTTTTAGTGGATCTCTGGTCCTGATAGTCTGCTGGTGCTAAGTTTAAACATTTCCTTTAGCTATTAAATGACTGTTGATAGGGAGTCTGTGTGTGCACATCTGTTTAATATTCTATCATACATACATTTATCACCCTTGTTGATTTGGCAGTATCTTGGGCCACCAAATCACTTGAAATATATATATACATATATATACATACATATTTAGGTTGGCACAAAGTACACGGCCGAGATTGAATTCCCTGTGAAATGTGGTGTAAAAGATGCATCCAACTGAATCCCACAGTGAGGAAGCATTCACCATCGGAGCATGAGACACCTACAATATCTTAAGAAATGTGCTGCTCTGATTTCAATGAGGCCAGGCTAATAAGTCTGTCTCTTCTTTTCAAATACAGCATTTGCAATATTACAGACATTTGCCTTAATATGAGAATTAAAGACTGCATTTTCACAGAATACATCTTAGTTTCTGGAGCAATCTTCATAATAAACTTTATAATACACTTTATTTGTATAGCACCTTGCATGCACAAAGCAGCCCAAAGTGCTTTACAGAACAAGAAGAAAACATAACAATATTAAAATAAATACAAAACAAGATAAAACATCTACAGTGATCCTAAGGAAATCCCCTTGAATGAGCAGACAGGAAATTAAAATAGGTTAAAAATTAAAAATATTTGTTCATAGACATTTCTCATTCATACAAGCAATTTGTCAAAAGAGACGTGTTTTTATGCCGAGTGCTTCTTCATTTGAACTTTTAGTAATATACTGATATAATATACTTATTTATTTAATTTATAATACGGACCAAAAGTGCCCCATTAGTTATTTGTAGGAACATGATGTTTCAAATTTGTGAAAATGCATACAGGAAAAGATATTACCTCCTCCTTACCAACAGTTTTGTTGGATAGTTTCCTCGTGTAATTGTTTTTTTTTCATTAGTGGGACTCACAATGTTTAACATTCTGTTAAAATGGTTTTAGCTTGGGTAAAGTTTAAGATCACTGCTTACAAATTATGGTGCAATTATCAGGGAAAGGGAATCCGTGACATACTTAGGCCTACTACCTTCACCATGAAAAGTACGTAAAGATGGGGGATGAAGAAGAGATTTCAGAATAAGGACCTAAAGTATTTTTTCAATTACTATTCATCTATTCAATGATTTAAATTTACAGGGAAACACACGATTTGGCATTTTCAGGTGAACCCATAGACGTCATTGCTGTGTTTCCCGGTGTGTGTTCATGCCCAAGGCTTCGGAGCAGACGGCAGATGCAGGAAGTGTGACTCTCTCTCTCTTTAGTATGCAGATTGTATGCAGATTGTGTAACTCACACTCGACTCAATGTGCCCCCTTTCAAGCAAATTGACTGAGAGTTGAAACTTAAAAAAAGCAAATTAAAAAAGTGACATGAATAAAAATCCGAAATTGGAATTCAAAAACACGAGAGAAGGAAGAAAATACCAAAATGAAATAAGATTGGGAGTGCACGGTCAAAAAATTAGGAAGTTTGTCACGTTATCCAATGAATATACTCTCAGTGGTTTTATATTTATTTGACAGATATCTGAGTTTTCTCATCTAATTCACAACAAAATGCTATGTTGAACCATTCTTTAAAATATGTCACCCATACCCCCCCCCCTCTCTCTCTCTCCCTCTCTCTCTCTCTCTCTCTCTCTCTCTCTCTCTCTTCTCATTCTAAGTCTATAATTCATCGTTTTGTCTCTAGTGGGGAAAAGCTCTGAGAGGCCGCCCTTCATGTCTCGTCATTATTTTCTGCCCCCAACAAGGCGACAAAAAATAAGTTGAGGGAAATATTCCTGGCAGAAGTCTTGGTGTGATCAGGGGAATCAGCTGACTTTGATACCATATGGCAAAGGGAAGCAGCTTGTCAGATGTAAGAATAACTTCCCTCAGGATCCAGAAAGGAGGTTTCCTCTGTTCTCTCTCCTGCAGGTGAGCCACAGGTTGCTGAGGGGAAGCTGTCAGTACCTGCGGGGCGAATAGGACAACACACAGAAACATAAACTGGGAATAGTCTAAGGAGCAGATACTTCTCAGCTGAAAATAAACACAAACCCTGCCAAAGATTGAACGGCTGTTCATTTACATTCCACAGGAAGAGCACAGTGTTAGGGGGAAGAGGCTTTAAGCAGGAAAACTGATTTACCAGAACAATGCATGTGGGTGGGAAATGTGTGCTCACAGTGAAGCCAAAATGTTTCACATGTGGATAAATGTCATTGTTAATTGTTTTCTGTGTGAGTGAATCTGACTTGAAACTGTGTTGCCATGACTACAAGTCCTAAATGGCATATTCTGAAACCCCCAGGCATGGGAGACTATAGGTGAGCACATCGGCTGAAAAGACCTGACAGGATGTAATTGCAGATGTAACTTTAATCTCTGCCCTTTTTACGTCACGCCCAACTGCTTTGACCTATGCAAATTAACTGGCTGACAAATCTGTACATTTGTCCGTGCTGTTTGTGAAGTAAGAGAGAGTAATGGTGCATAAGAGATATGCTACCGTGGAAATGAATCTCATGGAGGCCTGAAGTCATAATGTGAAGGTCAACAGTGAGGGCCAAATCATCTCTAATCACCCACGCACACAATATGTCAGTACTGCCCTTCAAGTAAAAAGCATTTCCTTTATTACTATAGGCCTGGTACATTGTTGTGGCATTTTTTAGATGGAAGAAATACCGATAATCAATTTCAAATGGATTTACGACTAATGAGTAAAAAATGAAATTATACTGTTATTCTGTTTAAAAAACTGGACACTGAAACAATTAGTTACTACTTCAACCACAAAGTTGACTTATTAGCACTTTGTAAAGTGTATATGGCAATTATTTGGATGTTAGAAAAGGATCCAAATGCAGCCAAGGATTAACATCAGCATGGGGTTGTGTTTATGGCCACCTTGTGAATATAAACATGCCTCCTCTTTTAGCAATCATTTAAAAAATGTACAACTCAGGAGAGAACCATTTGGCTCATTAGCTGCTGAATACTCCAATGCATTCACCAGCAGGTGTGGCAAACTTTGACAATTCGCTGTTTAATGCTGGGCAGGACATGTACCGTGGGTTTTTAGAGCTTTTTGCTGAAAACAGCTGCCTGCTGCTGATGTTAAAATCCTTATGAGAGCCGTGAGAGTCAACCAAAACAGGAACGTTGCAGGTTGTAAAACTAATCAATGAGTTGAAGAGGGGGAAGAAGGTGATACAACAAACTGAGGAAACTGCAGTCACATAATCCTTTGATGGATTGTATAGAATTATTGATTTGTGCTGCGTTAAAACCTTAATTTGCATGACTGCAGAATCTGCTGTTTAAAAATCACTTTGTTTTCAGCAGGTATGAAGCCGTACGGCTTATTGTGTGAGCAGCTGGGATCTCGCTATACTTGTACTACTATTGTTACATCCAATGTGTTAACAAGTGAGATGATGTACATAATTCAATATTTTATCCATTTCAATTTAACTGGCTTTTGACAGTGGTGAATGAGGCTCCACACTCTAAAAACAAAAGCTTTGACTCAACAAAGAAAATCAACGCAACAATTTGCATCAATGTTTATTGAGTTATGACAACTTCTAATGAAATTGTGTTAAACCAACAAACTTATTTGAGTTAGGGGAGAAGGCTTTTCCTCTACAATCACAGGTGTTTGTAATTACCACTTACTTAGTAATTGGTAGCATAAACACAAGTTTTTAAGTTGATTACTCCAAAGATTAAGTTGTTCCAACTAGTTTTACCACAGTATTTTAAAGGAATTTTAAGTTGTATGTACTTAATTACCATCATTGTGAACACAAGTTTTTAACTTGACAACCATTTATAAATTAAGTTGCTCCAAATATATTGTATTCAATAGTTTTTTTGTGGCTTTTTCATGTTTTTGCCTTTAAAGAAATAAATTAATCAAATCCACAACAAAAACGTTAGGCAATTCACTTTTTGATTTTGAACTGCAGTTGTTTATTTCAACAACTGATATTTAAATCAGGAGAGACTTCATTTTGTTTGAACATTTATTGACACATGTCATATGATAAATGTTAAGTCTTTGGCGATTAGACCCCAATCCTGAAATCGTATATCTAAAGGGAGCATATAGGGAACCCCCCAGGGACTAGACACTGGTGATGAAGCTGAAGATCTGGATTTGATGAGGAGATGGGATGAAGAGGAGGTGTGATGAGGTCTTTGGATTAGCTCTCCTGGCACTGGCTAAGATGAAAGGAGGTGGATGGGGAGGAGACCTGAAAACCTGAAATCACAGCTGACTGCAGGAGAGAGGAGAACCATTTTAAAGTTTGGCTGCAGCACAGCGATTGGCTGCTGGAGAATGAGGTGAAATGTAATAGGTTAAAGAGAACGCCTGTGATGAGCTGATTATATGCAGCTGCGGAGTGAATGTATACACCCATTCTTCCTGAAAGAACTTGCGCTGAGCTTCATTTAAATCTTGAAAAAAAAGATAAATAACACAAATTGAAATTGCCCCACAAATAATAAATAAACACATTATCCATATTACCATGGGAAATGGGGACACAGCAAATACATGCTGCCATCACAACGAAGTTAGAGGCCTTTGCATATTTAA